GTGTCCATGTGATGCAGCAGTTACAGATCTTGTCAGAATCTGCGCTTGTAATATGATACAGAGAGGAGCCTACTGTAAGGTGCTGACCAGGCAAGCCACACCGTGGAATATGTGATGGCTTTACGCACTGCCCGTGACCATGGATGTTATTGACATATACGTGCTTTCGGATAACCTTCACACCACTGTACGCCCGTTATTTCACCGAATAAGCTGAACAGTCCACGAAATGAAACAAGTCTTTCACGGGTCGACCGCTGCTCATGCCATCGGTGATCAGATCAACCCGTGTACAGACCGTATATACGTTACTTTACCAAGACTTACACAATATAGTTTGTACCATGCACTTCATCAACTTTCATTACATTCAGAAACACTGTTCGTGGTTATCTGGCAGAGCATGTGCTTGGGGAAACACTCCCTGACTTCAACACAAGCACACGTCCTGACATACAAAGCTTTGTCAGGATCAAAGGCGTATCATCTCTATCAGCAAACAACAACAATTCGTCACTTAATCAACACAGGTGACCAAACGGTTCCGGAGTAAGCTTGTATGTTCTGATTAGTATGGACCATGAAGAATCCATCAATCCATCCTTCACACGACGGAGTCTCATACTTCAGCGGGGTCTTACAGATGACCAACATCTATTTTGCTAGAAGCTGATTCACCTTATAACGTAAAATCTTAAAACGTAAAACCCATTTCGTGGACTGAGATTTCGTAGGATAGAGCGTCTGCTTGCAATAGAGCAGTTATAGAGACAACAGATTCATTAAAACTACATAAATTCCGTGTCCGTATTAGAACTTTGGTTGCTTTTTAACAAATTTGAGCGAAATGGCAACTCCGAATAGAACTGGTGTTTCCGAACTAATACTGTCAAGTGCTAAAACTCGGTTCTTTGTTTCGAACTGTGGTTGAAGACTAATTTGAGGTGGGTGCCTACGGATGGGCCTGCGTGCAGCGCCCACTAGAAGTAAATGGAAATTAATTTCGAGGGAACTACTGGGTTTCTAAACTTTTGAGTTCTACGGCATAATGGTCCAATCCGTCTTCGCCTTTCGAGGATACGTTGCTTATGGCATGTTACCTGAGTGTGCAAATTTTTTAGATCCACTGTCACCGCCAGCCTACGACACAACGCATAACATCAACTCTTAGCATACTTCGCCGTTTGAGGTTTACTTTAAATTGAAGATATCATCTGGAGAAACTTTTGTGTAAATTCCATCCGCTGGATGGTTGGATGAAGTTTGTATCTTGTATAGTAGTCAGGGGAGCTTCCTTCACCGAAATTCGGCACGACGCTCATTTTGGTAAACTTTGGGTGAATTATGACCATCGAGAACAACTGGACACATTGTTTATTGTCGATACGAGCATTTATCTCCATGAATGAGCCACAATCTAAAATGTGTCCAACTAGCCTGGAGATAATGCGGTGCTTTAAATAGCTGCGTGTGAATGACTGACATCGCAATGAGAGGTATTTCCCCCAGGCAGGGGCGCCGTCGCTGACTTGAGTTTCGTCATACAGCACAAAAATATCGTCGGAGAATAACATGGTATTTCATCGTCATAACCGCACGTATTGCCGCCTACTCCGGCAACTTTTCGTAATTGTTTGGTCCGTGTCTATCCGCTCCAACCACTTATGATAGCCTAATAAAACGGCAAACAGTGACCTTCCATCATTATATCTTTAAATGTTCTCACTAGTTCTGCCATATACCCACGAGATCTTTACATGAAACTAGCAAGGAATCATTATAATAGTTAAGATCAGTCCAACCCTACACCCATTACATCGTGTGCTATCATTGAAAAATCCTCCAAAACCACTAACTCCGGCGAGTCATTTGATTTTGTCAGGCAGGACGCCTGCTGCGATGCTACCAAACTTTTTCTGCGTAGGTCGCGAACTGTTGCATAATACTGATTTTGTGTGGACCGAGACCGAATTAACATTATTCATTAGCTCTCAAAATATTTCAAAAATCAGTACAACGGAAAACACATGGAGAAACCAAGTCCTGCGCAAATTTTCTCAATGTCTTCGTGGGGACATCGTGTTAAGTCATGAAAATGAAGTCTACGACCAGTGTAGAGTTTGGCTATGCCTAAAAGAATTTCAGTGAAATTGCGGTTCTGGGGAAAATTCGAGTTCCTGAATGCTTACCGTCAAATATAAAAGTTTCTTTCTTTCAAACTATGGTATCCGAAAAAGTTTGGTTGCGCATTCAAGGATCGGTCTGTGTGCACAGGTTTGTCGCTTAATAAGATTGATTTGCAGTTTTCCGTACCTGTACAATTTCTATCGAATCCTCGGAACCCCTTAAGCCTTCTTTGGAGTAACAACATTTTGCGCCACAATTTAAGCTGATAGCCCCATAATTGAGGTCTGTACCCATTTCGTACACCCATTTATTTACATACATTACTCCACTTTATTGGCAACTCTGAAGGCTTGAAAAACCGTTGCTAGTGATTTTGCGCGTCATCTTCTCGGGCTTACCGAACAGCGTCAAATATTACCCTCTATCGATAACTGGTCGCCACCCAGCTTAATGGAGTTCATGACTGCCTCCAACTTAATCAATGTAGGCTTTTGTGCTGAAGCTCGCACTGGCTGTGAGCCAACGATGATTAGCCCAGAACAGGAGGTGAGTCTTGACTTCGGCCTACCAAATAATTGCGCTTCCCGCGGGCGAACTTGTTCAACCTGGGTATATTACCTGCAAAATTTACCGCGTCTTTTATTCTTGTGGATCGAACCAGTCTCCGTAGATTTCGGGGAAACTCATTCCATCAGAATCAAACTTCCCATCTTCTGGAGCCAATGCCGGGAGTACAAATACAAACTGTCGGTTGCAGCCACCACGTACAGTGACACAACAGATAAGCAGCTTTACTGCATCAGAATGCATCGGTCTAGGCAAGAGCTGAATGTTGTTCATTTTGCTATTTTTGACACTGGGCACGCATGTCAAAATCCACGACCCCTAACGGATACCTTAGAGTTAATAAGTGCCCGCTTTGATTAATTTTACTGGGCGGAACAAAGATGCAGAGAAGTTAGCTGACCCACATCCAAATGAATCAAAAGTATTCGAGCGGTGGCGCGTGATGAGATGTCAAACAGCGAAGGCCCGTTGTCATAACTAACATTTTCTGGTTGCCCAGACCTAACAGGAGGGTTTGTACATGTGTCTTCACCTTGAAGCTTTGCCTCAAAAGCCAGACAAACAACACAATGGAGGGATGCATGCTTTTTTGTGGACCCCCTTAATTCCTAGTCATTAGGCTGAACCTCAAAGTAAGCGTCCTCCCTGGTCATTCCTTCAGAAGTAGATTCACATACTATTGTTGAGAAATACGGGGCGTTCTCCGCACGGTTGTTCGTCACATCACCGGAACGAACCATTCAATGCTGTGCGTTTATGGCCCATTTTCGGGTAGTGTACAACAAGTGGGCCGTAAAATGTGTAACAAATCAAGGATCGGTGTGGCGCAGAAGCTGCAGGTCTTGCCGGAATCTGTGTGCCTGTAATACGATTAACAGAAAACCTACTGTAAAGCGTTGTCCAGGCGAGCCATGAAGCGAAATATGTGCCGGTTGCTCGCTGAATGTGTCTATGACCAAAAATACAGGGATATTAAATGATACATACGAGCTTCCTGATGGATTTTCGGACATGAAAATAGCAAAGCATCACGTCATAACCGAACACGACTCCTGCTGCACGCATTTGCGCTGCCAACTTGTCCATTACAAAGTCCTAACCGGATAAGTTTCGCCCATCATTGCCCTGAATAAGTCGAACTGTTTGCACATGCGAGCAAACTGTTCGCTCTCTGCGAATGCATACATAACCGGACGCCCGGTCCTATGCCATCCGTTATCAAGTAGGTATACAGCTCATACCTACATGCAGAATATTTGGCCCTTTAAAAAACTCACCCAAAGCGGTTTGTTGCATGCGCTCCGTCTACGGTCACTACATCTGGAAAGCGTCGGAACGGCGCCATCTGCTGCCATAGGGAGAAGCAAAGATGGTTATAGTGACCTTTTTCTGACTGGCGCATAAGCAGGCGCCTGGTTTCCCAAAGTTTTGCCATGACCGAAGGCACATCATCTACCATATTAAAACCCCGCTATGCGGCACCTACTCAACACGGCCGGTCGACCCTAACGGCGGTAGATTATGTATCCTGTGTAGTAGAATTTTGCGGAAATCATTCGCCACAAACTGACGCAACTCACATAAGGGCGTTTCAAAATGGCTTAGCAGGTGCCCAACTCGTCTTCGGTTAGGCGTCGATTAACTGGAGGCCGGCCGTACAGAAAATTTCACATTATGTGGTTGTGCTCATGAAAATGAGAGATGACTGTCAGTTGGTTTCTTTACCTCCGTAGACAAAACCGCACTGGACAGCTGGAGATCAATTAAAACAAATCGAAAAAAGTTAGCCGTAGCTGAAGGTGATTTTTGGACTGAGCACATATGCGAAGAAGTGCAACTTTTTGACATTAAAGTTTTTATTTCACCCAGAAAAATGCGCTGTGCGCCGAAGGCGCGCCTTCATCTGCGATTCGCGCTGTTGCATTCAGGTAATGGTGATTGCTGACCTTGAATATTCACTCATTTAAACAAATCACCAACTTGGGCAATTTGTAGGTAAATTCCCCAAACATGGGCATTCTTCACCGTGAATCAGAAATTCCAAAAACGTCGTGGCTTTCAAGAAGTTAATTCCTTTGTGAGAATAAAAAGAAGGGTAAATCATGCTCATTCCCGAGACGGCGATTAGAGGGATGTTCCTGATGGACTTGGCGTGGAGTGCCATACCAAAACCCCTCAATACTGATTGGTCTATATTTCGGCCAATCACCGAAGGAATCTAGGTCGGGGTACTTTCACCCAATCAGAGTGTTGTTCAACCGCTCTGACCTACACTCGTGGTGCTGTTAGAACCCATAGATGGATTCATGAGTGGATACAAGGGTATGAGGCTTCCGTCCGGGTCGGGTTTGTTGCTGTCGTTCAGCGACTTGCGTTCACCCGGAAGGAAGGAGGGAACGGAGAGTGTAGCAGTTCTCATCGCCCAACGGTAAGCTCCAGCTTACTGCTGACGATCGTCAGCACGAGGTCACACAATGCCTTGAATTGGGTTCTGGGTGCAGCGTGATCAGCCATTAGAGGAAGGTTATTCCACGCACCAACTACCCGAGATATGGAAAATCGTCGTCCAGTAAAAGTGTACGCTCTGAGCCTGAAGATCTAACCTTGACCTCCCACATCCCCCTACTGCCTTATGGGTTAGACTCGAGATAGCACGGCGGTTAAGACCGAATTTTACGGACCAGAAGGTCCGTAGTTCGAACCTTACGTCAGCGTCGCGACTGCTGATGTCTAGACTTGGGCAAACAGTATCCCAACCCTTGTGCTTCCTTCCTTCGGCATGTGCTAGGCGCCGATAAACTGATAAAAAAGAACTCTTTAAATTAAAAAAATACTTTGGGTCAGGTTGTCTAGGTAAAGGCCCTGGGTGGGGCACCTCAACGGAACCCTATTCCTCGACTTGGGCGATCGGGAAGTATCGAACGTAAAATAAATAAATCGTTCAGCTTTATTTATTTTACGTTCGATACTTCCCGATCGCCCTCGTGCTTCCTTCGGGTGGCATGGCAGCTAGGCACCGAAAGGGCGCTACAGCTGAACGAAATCGTTCAGCTGTAACACCCGGTGCTTAGCCGACGTACCACCCGAAAGAAGCACGATAGCTGGGATACTGTCAGGTTGCCCAAGCCTGGACGAGGAAGTTAAGAGGCAGAGGTCGGGTTCAAACCAAAAAACTTTCTGGTCAGTAAATTCGCGCTCTAACCACTTGAGCCATCTCGCCCCCCACCGAGAAGTATCACTTACCCACAATTATCTGTCCGCTCGCATCCATTCCCACACAAACCAGCAAACGCTGCCGGGTCATTTGACTGTCAGTTCCCTGACCGATGGGCCTTGCACACCCCGCTTCCCATTGACAATGAACGAGATAACAACTTGCTAGACACACAATATCCTTTCTAGTTAGGAACGTTTGCAAAAAGGAAGTGCTCACTGAAACCTTATACTCCCGAAAAATATGTATAAAACACGCATACAAGAAGCAAATATGCCCATGAGTTTCAAAACGCCCATGACGAACTCTGTTCTGTCTTATCTCTCCCTCCTTGTGTTCGGTGATTCAGAAGGGATAACTCGTGGAATATATGGCGTGGGGGTTGCACTCAAGTTTAGAACTGAACGCTCTTTTATTTATTAGATCACAATAAACGGTCGGCTTTGCGCCATTCGGTTATCTAGCTCAATCAAGCTCAATACCTGCCTACACTTCTGATGCTGAGAAGGGTACTTTCTATCCAGACTTATCCGGGCTCATTCGTCGAGGTAGTGCACTGACACTGTGATCTTCGCGGGTGATGTGAATGCCCAATTTGGTCGTATGAGCTCCTTGGAATCATCTATGGACCGTCGATTTGGAATCAATAGTCGTCGCACAGACAACGCAGTGACTCCTCCAGTTGTGTTCTGATCATCAACTGTTTCTGGTCAGTACGATTTTTCAGCACTAACTTTTTAATCGCGTAACCTGGCGACCACAAACTGCAAATCAATCATTGTCCCAGTTGGATCACATGGCCATCAGCCGCCGTTGGAGATCCACAATTCAAGACTACCGTTTGTTGCGGAGCGCTCAGCTTGATTCCTAATGCCATGTTGCGTTCACGTCTAACAGTTCGTTTCTCTTCAGGTCCTCGCAAGTCACTAAGAATCATGCCAATCCAGCATTTTCGAAGAACTACCATTCCTCAGGGCTGGCTCAACAACTCTCTACAGTACTTTAATACTGTACCGGTAGTGAGCACTTGGATAAAGCATCGCAAGATATGAAAGTTGCCATGCTAGCGGCCTTCATTACTACTTGTTTGACTTTTCTGATACAGTCAAATGACCGCTGGATATCATCGAAATCGTTGGTCCTGACTGATGCCAGGGAACGCATACCAACAGACAGCCAGTACGATAGCGTACTCAACTCCCTCGAGCGCTAAATAATGAAGAACCTAGATAAAGTTCGAGAGCTCTGGTGGAAGTCGAAAACTATGGAAATGGAGCTTTTTGTTACCGGAAACAGCCATGCTCTATACCAACTGATACGATTAAATGGCCTTAGGAAAGCAACGGTCAGTGAAACGATAGGTGAAAAAGGTGGCGCATTGATTCACTCGCAAAAGACACCGACGGGAAAGATGAACCGAACACTTCAAAGAGCAGTTTAGCTAGCCTCCTGCAATACAGCCTCTAGAGAAAATGCATGCGGGCGAATAGAATGTAAACCTTAATCGCATGTTGGAAGAAATCAAGTGTCATCATCATCATCCCACGTCTGAAATGTCTCCAGCCATTGATGTGGCCCGTCTCGGGGTCCCCATCCAAGAAGACGGCAACTACCAGTGCAGCTGAGTTTGCTTGGAATGGCTTTCATACTTCGCTGCCAAGTCATTGTTTGACCGCTTCTGGCTCTCTTCCACCCTTCACGTGGTTGTGCGAAAAGAGCCCTTCGAGGAAGTCAGTCGACTGGCATACGCAGCACGTGGCCAAGCCAGCGCAGCCTGTGCTCTGTGATCAGTTCATCTATCGAGGGTGAGTTATTTCTCCCGAATACCACTCGACGTACTTCAGCATTGCTGATCCGGTGTTCCCACCAGATTCGGGAAATGCTCCGAAGACATCGATGGTCAAACACTGAA